TTTGTGTAAATAAATTGTAGAACGAAAAGTGCAGATAATTTTTGACTCACCCTCGTAATATGCATCTGGAAAAGTTAAAGTTTAACTTCGTTTAAACTCGTTCGCCTGTAAAATTGCTATTATCGATATGTGTCACTTTTTCCTTGGGAAAATTCACTTTAAGTGAAATTGAAGCTTTTAAAAGTAATCTTTCACAAATCTAAGAGTTTACTTAAAGAAGTTAAAAATTTACTTAAAAAATTTTAGAGAAAAATTTTAAACACTTAGATAGCCAAGCCTGTCGAAGTTCCCGCTAGAGGGCCGCGCGGCATAGCACTTTCTCGTAAGACAACCGCACGCGGTATTGTATTATAAATTATATCACATACCTCTCACAATTTTTAAAGTTTTCCTTTAAATTCTTAAAACATGTTTTAAGTTTAGCTTAAATAAAAGTTCAGTGTCCAAATTTACTTTTCATATTTCTTTTTTTTAAGTAAAATTTGAAGGTTTCCTAAGATATATTTTCCTAAGGGTTCTCGCGCGGCGGCAACACGTTAGATAAACGCGCGTGAAAAGAGTCCGGCGCGATCATGCCTGCTTATACATACATTTTAACATATGCACGTTGTAATATGTAGAAAAGACGTCTGTGTATAAAATGTAAGTCATCCCCCCCCCCACCTTTTTTTCAGTTGGTATCTGTACGGAAACCGGTTTATTTGGAGTCGCGTCGCGACGGAGGCGACGGTAATAACGCGCGTGCGCGCTAAAGCGGGGCCCGCTCTCGCGTGCGATCGAGAACCTTCGGATACGTCGGGCTATCCGTCGCGAGCACCGTCGCTCTATTGGCCGTGGCTTGGCCGATTAGTCGGCCGGTCGGCCGCGTCCAATTATTTGTACGGCATGCGCGCGGCGGCCGAGGATTCCTACACCGGCTCTCGTTCGCGATCGCCGCTCGTTAATCGCCGTCTATCATCGGCGAGCAAGGTCCGCCGTCGTCTCGACTTGAGCCTCACCATCGCGGCAGCCGCCTACGCCGGCTGACTGTATCGGCACCGTGTCCGGTAGCGCGCAACGATGCTGAGTCTCTTCGAGAGCATCGCGTACATCCCGAAGCTCTATTACGGCGCATTGCTGGGCATCGGCTTCTGTATCTACTATCTCTGCGAGGTCGTTAAGGTGAGTGAGAGATAAGAGAAAAGAAGAAAGAAGGTTAATGACGATCGATCGATCGATCGATCGATCGCGGTCCGAACCGGTCGTGGAGGGAGGACTTAATCTGTGCCCCAATGTTAGTGCACCGCGTAATGACGTAACATTCGAAGATAATTTAGTGTAGTATATGAATTGTGGAAAACATTTTTTTCTTAATCACGTGTTTAGGTTACGGCGATATAAACGATGATCGGACGTGCCTCGTCACGCACGCATGCGCACGTAAGTGCGTATCGCAAATACGTATCGTTTCTTCGTTATCTGGATATTGTTCAAACACTCGGCAGGGATCAACGCAGCGTTCATGTGCCTTTCTATGTACATACATACATGCAATCCATTACGTCCTTTGAGCTATACATGCATGTGTCGCATAGTTGCAGTCACGTGTGTCCTGCGTCCGTACAGCTTCATACTGAAGCTGACAATCTCGACTCGAAACATCGTACCTCAATAACGTTTTTGCACAAAGCTCACCTTAATTCGTATTATTTATGACGGGATTTGAAATAAAATTTTATTTGTAATTTCACATGCATGTACTTAGATGTATATTTTAATAACACGGCAAAAAATTTTTCGAGCATAAACATGCATAAATATGTCATAGTATTATATAAAATTATACATGAAATATGTATGGACATATTTGATGCAGAGAAAAGTCCCCTATTATGAGACAGCGTTTCTATTAAATTAATAGGCATCGGCTGTGGGTCCACCAGGAATCTATATATACTCCCTTGGAGTGAGATCTGTTTAGTTGACAATGCATTGTTAGATTGTGTAATCGCCGCGGAAGAATATTGTGATTGAATTTGGATGTTGAAAACCTGCTATCTCGTGTTAGAAGCCTATCTCATAATAGGGGCCTTTCCTCTATATTTTTATATATTTCTATACATTCTCCCACTTTCTGGCTGTAAGCTAAAGTGAATAAAAGATTGATTGATTGATAATTTTATACATTTATTCATGTTTATGCATGAAAAATTTTTTACCGGGAAATATTTCACAACACACACGCACACGCACACACACACACACTTGCATACTGATTAAATAATTAATAGTGTAGTATCTTGATTCTTAAAATATTTTTTATCTCACATTAGATGATTTATAATTGAGGACTCTGGACAGTATTCTATTCATAATGTGAGTTTGTCGCGTAATGCAAAACATAATTCTAGAATCAGAAATACAATATATACGAAGATATTAAGATATACGTCTAAATAGGAGGCGCAATAAAGTTTTAAGTAAAAGCGCGTGTCAGATTTCTGAATGGAGATCCGACGCACGTTATACATAGATCGTTTAAGGTGATCTCTGGGCTCATAATATTATAAATAGAGTTGTCTCTTAAGCCCACTTTACACGATCTATAATTCGCAACAGAATTCGAGACAGAATTCCATTTTTTAATTTTTATGTATCGTGTAATACAGAAAACATTTGAACAATTAGAATTATAATTATAATGCTCCAATTTTGTAAATAGAAAAGATGCATCAAATATGTGTAGTGCATGAAAATGCGTGATTGATTAATTGTATCTGGTCTAATGAAAAACCTTGAGCATTGATTGCTGTGAGTATTTGTGTCCAATCGGCAGGGAAAACGGACCTCATCCATATGTAAATGTTATAACCTACACTAACCTAATCGAGAAACATATGTCAATTTAATATATGAAATTATAAAATAGAATTCTATCTTGAATTCTGTCGCGAATTATAGATCATGTAAAGTGGGCTTTATATTCCAATATAAATTACAGATCGCCTAAAGCAAGTTATATAAACGATATTCATGTTCTTGAAAGAGGTGATACTATTTACTCGTGCACGCTGTCAATCTGTCACTTATACTACGCAATGTTTGACGTAAAAGGAATAACATAATACAAATTTGGAAGTTAAATAATGTGAGCTAAATGTATATTAATTCATCGATAAAAAAAGTTCCGATAGTTCCGATAGTTTCGACCTTTCAACCTTCTTTGACGTCATGATACAATGCGACCGAAAATGTTCTACTTTTTATCTGAAAACGTATGAATACGTAACAAACGTATTATACAACAGTGCAAGGCTTCTTTTCAAAAAGTGCGAATGAAAATTAGTACAAGGGAAAAAATGCTATTAAATTGAAGAAAAATACAGTTGCGTGAATTAAACGTTAACGTCTCATGGGCTGCCACAAACATAAATAATTTACACAATTGTATTTGCAATGGATCTTAATTTTAACCATTCAACTAAATATCCAGATTATTAAGACAACTATCTGATGTTTTCATTCATTAATACCGATGCTGTTTCAACAATTTTATTTCAATTACGCTGATCTCGTTGATACGTCATTTTTTTCTGCGTACGGACGCAAGATCGAAATTTCGGAGTCTTGGAGCCTAACGCAACGAGGCGAGATTTGACGCACAGCGATGACACGCGGAAACGAGGCCCGACGGATTTATCCACGCGCAATGAACTCCGAAATGGGACAACTTATCGTTCGTGCCTCGTGCACGGCGCGTTCATTGACTAACGAGCCGGGGCAATGCGGCTAAATAGTGCCTCGGGCTACGACATCTTTTATATGCGTCAACATTTATTTGCCATGAATGGCGAAGTTAATCCTTTACGCGGAATTAAATAATTCGCCTGTCCGCGAGCACGCACGCAACTCGGCTACGGGATGCTGTGACCTGACAATGAAATTCAACAAAAAAACTTGATTGTGATTAACTATAAAATTAATTTTATCCCTTTAAATTAATGTTATTGCTTTCATATAGCACAATTCCGCACTTACACGCCCGTCCGAGCGAGCGAGGTCGGCAGCCTCCTTGTGATGTCTATCAATTAAGATATATTTTTGCGTAGTTTCGTACTGTTTTAGACACAGTTTTCCTCCCTGCAAACTCTCTTCCCTACGTGCTTTCCAAAAACATTTTAAGAAGACACTATTGCCTACTTGTTCTTTCCGAATTCGCTTAGCCCTATTGTGTGACATAAAATATCTTGCAGCGTTTACATTGTAAAATTACATACATAGTAAGTGTAGAGATTACACTATTAATAACGGAAATATATAAAGTTTTGTACCAAAAAATTTTTTTTACTCTTTTTGTGTAAATACTTGTTTATACTTGATGAAAAATTACACAAAAATTGTAAAATTTACACAATTAAAAGCAAGCAGTTTACTTATTATACACGATAACACTTTTACCTACAACATATGAATTTGCTGACGTATGTAAATACGCAACTTTAATAGATGGTCCCAATATTACCCACTATAATAATTGCAACTTTATGGTACATGTAATTGTTTTACAGTGTACATGCTATCGTATACGCGAAATGTATATGAAATATAATGTGGAAGACAAACACCGCGTGTTTTATCGCATTGTTCCACTTGTTAATATATTTGACATTTGATTTGACATATCTAGTTTGATACATTTGATATAGATATTCTTTTGACATTTTTGAAGATGAAATTGTAAATTTTTTGCTACTTTTTTTTATGTTATAGGAGTGTCTGTAAAAAGAAACAAAATACTTTTACTATTGTATACAAATATTAATATATAGGGTGTCTAACGTAAAAGTGATCGCCGGTCGCCCCTCGCCTATCGTAGAAGATATAATTAAGTAAACCCCATTTTGCATATCTGCCGAGTCCGGCCTCTCGCTTCTCGTGCACCCATTCGCTCGGACATTTTTGTTTATTACTTAATAACGTATAAGTATGTTGATAGGTGTTTGATACACACTGTAGACATCAACGTATATAGATGTCGCTTATATCCTTCGTCGCTCAGATTAGCTGCTGCTGCTGCCATAGCATGCACGCCCTTTTGTACTGTTGCGTTAATCTGAATAAAACTACAAAACGTATACAGGCGTGTCTTATTCCTCTAAGTGTATCCGCAAGAAGTATTCCTTCTAACATATGTAATATAAATACTAAATATCTTGCAAAGTAGTAACTTTTATATCGCTTTCTATATTTGTAGAAAATTCAACATTTTTAATATTTAAATCTACAATTTGATGATTGGATAAAATCAAATATAAACTTGTGTTTATTTGGAATGTGTAAAAAAAATGCAATCCGTTAATGTCAGAAAGAGTTGAATATATGAAATTATATTTTTAATAGTTTTAGTTATAGCACTAATTTGAAAAATTAGTTTTGCATACACCTTTAATTTTTAACTCGTTCTTATCAATTGAAACAATGAACGTAATAATACAAGCAACATAATAAGTTACTAAGAAGAATGGAAAAAATAAATAAACTTAACGTGAAAATGAATCAGTTTTATAATCAGATGTATAGTTAGGAAAGGTCAGACATAAAGTACATCTTATGCTATATTACTCATGATAAAAATATACACATATGTATATTATGTCTCAATGCGCCATTGTCATAGTTCTTACTTTTTAAAAAATTAAAATTGATTAGTTATATTAATAAAATTGGTATGACTCAAATGTGTTATACACAAATTTAAGGAATAAAGGACTAATTGTAAGAGCCGTGACAGGGTGTTAGTGTCTCAATATTTTATTCTAAATTTATTGCGAAAAAATATCACCTCAGCCAGGGTTTGAACCTGGACTCCTCCCTCTCGCTAGGCGAGCGTCTCAACCAATTCGACCACCGAGGTACGTGGCAATATTCATCGCAATAAACAATCTAACTCGACTTAAATCGTGAGTCTTAAACCACAGTACAATCATACCCATAATCTACCCCCATTATTATGTTCCCACCCGACCAAAAAAAAACCTTGATTAGTTATATTTGATAGACGTTTCGCTCCGAACGCAATCTTTTTCTTTTAATATTACACTATCACTTTTCTTCAATTTAATTACTATAAAGTTTATAGAGAGTGTTTCTTTGATTTCTATAGAGGTTTCAATAATTTTTAA